ATGCAAGAATAGCTAGTCAGCTGCTGTTAAGCTTGAGATTGGGTTTGATGGCAGTGCCATAGCAAATGCTAACAGTAAGGCACAAAGCCACTGGGTCATGGAAAAAGGGTATTTTTAAAAAGTTGGGATTGGTGGTGGCTCAACATTTGCCTTTATACATTGGTCACTTTTTTTGGCCTAGGCAATTTTAAAGTACAATTGCAGGCATGCCAAGTGGAATCAATCAATTTGGAAATTGTAACGACAGTGATCTAGATTTTTTTTTAAAAAATGACAACTGCTATTTTTAGAAATCATAATGCAAGATATAATTAATGACTTACCTGAGTATAATGCCCACATACATGTTTACAATGTTGAGTAGCATAATTGTAATATTGGACTTCATTGTACCAATTAGTGAGGGCTGAAGTTACATTAAAATACCAAATGCTTCCAGTCCAAATATTTTCTCCGACTACTGTGAAGTTTGGGTGGGCCTTCCCTGGTGACCGGAGATCAGGATTATGATTAAATTGGCACATATTTGCCCAGCCAAGAGCAGTCTTTGCAAGATCATGGTCCCAGCTCTACAAAAGCATAATATATATTATGATCACTTTATTTGGTAATCCTGGGTTTAAAAAATAATAATAATGCAATTGTTTCCCCATTTCACCGTACTACATAGAGTTGTATATAAATTTTATCCCTCGGTTCTAACTCACTTCTACTGCAGATTGGGGAATACTTAAACCAGAATGCTCAATGCCTCTCTGGCTTTGCACTGTTTTATAGTTTTTACAAAAACGAGCTAGCTGCCTGCTTATTCCTGACTCATCAACATGGATATGAATGTAACTATATAAATACATGTGCAAAAATGAAAAAATTGATGTTATGCATTGCACTGAACCATATGTTGTAGAATAAACTACAATTAACTAAGACAAATAAATCATTATGTAATCTGTGAATCCAAACTGGCATACTAGCTTTGAAGAAAAGTCAGAAAAGGCATTAAAATTATTTTATATAATATTTCCCTCTTCAAAAAGTAACAGCTTTTTAGGAAGAAGGGGGTCCTGTGGGACCATGGCATGATGTTCATTTTGCATCACACTAGTGATATTCTTCTCACAGTTGTTATTTAAAATTGCCTCAATAGCTGGTCACATTAAATGGGATACACATTTAATCTCTGGTTAGACACTGGTTCTCAGCCTTTCAGCTAAGATCAAGCATGTGTGTAGTCTGTTCTCATAAAGTGCTTAACTGGATCAAGTAATCCTCATGGCTTAGATTTAGCCCACAGGATATTCATACTTGTGTAGGATTAAACTGATTCTAGCCAGTCATTTGGGTAGAACTAGAACAACTAAAGACAAGGCAGTTGCCCCCATTTGCCTATGTAGACCACTAAGAAAGGGCTAGGAGAAACAGCCCATATATTCATTACACAGCTCCATGTCAAGGCCCAGAATGGAACATACATTCCAAACATTGAATGACTTGTGATATTATAAAGCATTGCCAACGTGTTTTTGAAGCCAAGGTTCATGGGATGCTAGTAGCATTTCTTGGAGAAAGTGGGTGAAACTTGGTATTTCCTAGATAATAACTTTAGACCCAATTGATGTGATTTGCTGCACAAATCATTGGTAAGTTTAGTGACATGGTTATTCAGAGCATGGCTTTGATACAATGCCAAAGTTGCTCCAGAAAAATTGGCCTTTTTTGCACTATATTACATTTGCCAGACGTACTAAGGAACAAGACAGTAGTACTCTTTTGAGATTTCTATCCCATCTATTTTTTAAATTATATAATTATTTTTGAAACTGGCAAACCACCCAGCAGGAGACATATTTAAGGGGGGAGGAAGATTAGTGGTTTGTTTGAAAATGTGCCTTCTTGTTCAGAAATCAACAGATGTTAGGACAACAAAAAGGACCTAGAGGGTTAAAGTGTAAATGGTGTCTCCCACAGCAACTATTTTGCCAACCGTGGGAATTCTCATAGCTTCCATTTGGAATTGATGTTTGCTATACACTCTCAAAATTTCCAGCTTCAAAAGCAACAAAATTAGTATCAAGCCTTGTCAGAGAATTAGTTTCAGCAGAGCAAAATTCTCTTAAAAGAACTAGAAATATCTAAGCCAATTCTAAACCTGCAGGAAGTATGAAATGTACATTCTTCATTGCTACAGATTATGATGATTTCCTTACCATCCGTTTCATGTTGCTAGCTGGTGGGTCCACATTGGATCGGAATCTATTATGCACTCTGACACATTCTTCAATAAAGTGTGCATTTTCAATATCCGGTAACGTATGTTGGTTATAAAAACAGCAGCACACTTGCAGTTTCAGGAACAATAAAATACCAAAGATCAGGCTTTTTTCTGTCATTCTGGACTGCTACACAATGAGCCAAAATATTTTAAAACAAAAACCAAGTTATAAGAACTCCTTTAGGCTATTCTGTTTAACAACTTCTGCTTGGCTTTTATTTAATCTTTCTTTGGTTCCGTTGTTAACAATTAAAGGCACCCGGAAATGAACAAATACCTACAAGTTGAAGGCAGAGCCTAGTGATGGATGAGTCATTTTCATCCACTGAATTGTTCCTGTTCTTACACTCTTTTATAATCCTATCTTGTATGTAAATCTTAAGTAATGAGAGAACATTAACGATGTCCTGTGATTTATATTGGGAAGTTGTCTAATTTTTAAAAATTCATTGTTTTTTATGGTTTGCTTAAGTGTTGAAATCCAAACTTAAAATTAAATTGCTGGAACTTCAATGGTTTAAGATGTCAGATCTCATCAGTAAAACAAAACAAAACATAGAGTAAATAGCAGGAAAGATAATGAAACACACACACACAAACAAGGATAGTTGTTTGACCAATGAATTAATTACTATTTGCTAATTGCAAAGCTTAAACTCTTACCAAAAAATAAATTCAGAAATGCCCTGGTCACTTAAAACACCAGTCCCCAATCCCAATCCCAATGGAGAAACGTTGGTCTGCAGTATGCCAACAACTAGGCTTCACAAACAAGCTAAGCCCCATCTGTGGGATACAGGCAGCACACAAAACCACACCTGCTCAGGTCCACAGAAAAGCCTTTCCCTGGTGCCCAAAAGGTTGTGGGCCACTGACTTAAAAAGACCTGTCCAACACCAATTTGTTCACTCTGTTTTAATAAATATAGTGGCTTTCCCACTCATTGCAGGGATTAAGCCTATGTTAGGACCTGTCGAAGCAGGGGGAAACAGGCAGTGAGGACCTTGCTTCAGACAACTCATCCTCGGTATCATGAAAGGACTGCAAGTCATAACTGTATTTTTACTTTCTGGGAGAAAAGTACCTATGGGAATTTCACTGAAGCAATTACAACTTGACTGGATTTAAATAATTTGCAGTTCGCTACTCAATCTGGGGCAGGAAAATATCTTGAGCTGGGTCTGCTTCTGGTGATATAGATTTGGATATATTGTGATAGGCTTAATTTATTTGTTTTTCTTTATGGTACACTGCTCGTTTTGCATGGTTCTCATTTACTTTGTATTTTGTTGTTAGCTGCCTATGTTTTGGAAGTGAATAGATTGCAAATGCTGTTAACCAAGCAAATGAATAAAGGGTATTAGTTTCTTATATGGTATCTCTCTTCATCCTATCAATCTGTGTTTCTGTTGGGTGGATGAGTTGGGAAGGTGTGTGTGTGTGCGCGCTTTACCTTTTAAAATTCTTGATTTTCCTTATCTTTTAAAAATCCTGGTAACGTCCTTCATTTATGCTATCTTTAAAGATTCATAGCATGTTTTGAAGGTGAGGCATGCGATGAATAACACAATTATCCCAAAGGGGGAAAAAAAGAACATTGGTTTGTTGAGGCTCAATGATGGCTAGAAACAGTATACAGGAACTTGAAGATTTAATTTCCTGTTCCTGTCATGCAGCTTTTGCATGGATGAAATTTCTGCTCCTGTTGCATGGGAGATTGGTTGGGGCTGTGGAAACTGGAAGGGAGCATATTGCTTCTGGAATACTTATGGTAGTATAGTTTTCTCTTTCTTTCTCTCTCCCTGTTTCTCATCTCTCTCTCTCCTCCATGGCAAGAGCAACAGCGTCAGTGTCTTAGGAGAAAAACCGCGTGCCCCCCCCTCCAATATTCCTCAGCACCAACTTTAGCACGTTTCACAAATGAGGTGCTGGCGGCAATGGTGCTGGTGTCCCCTCCTCCCCATTTGTAAAGCATACAAAGTTTAAAGGTGCTGCACGAGGGGCATGCTTACAGGGTGAGACCGCGCCCAACCACCTTTCCCAGGCCCGCTTCCCTGAGGGGGCACCTGACTGTGCTTATCAGCTGCTGAAGTGGCCGAGATGAGCAGGAGGCAGAGGTGGATCTACCGGTAGGTCGAGTTGGTCAGTCAGACAGGTGGGAGGCGGGCGCAGGGCAACTTGAGGCTGCGGCAATCGGATGGCGATCGACCAAACTTCCCAGCCTCGCTTCCCCAAAGGGGAAGCATAGCGGGGGGAGGAAAAGCAAGCTGTTGAGCCCCAGCCCAAGGCTTGCCATACCTGGGGGTGGAATGCAGTGGCGAGATGGCAATGGTAATGGTGGCAATGGCAGCGATTCTTTCAGCATCGAGGCTTCCAGGAGCAGCTCCCCACCCCGCCGCCCATCAGCTGTTTGTGTGGGCAAGGGGGGGAGGGGGGGCAGCCAGTGGTATGATTTGCTGGTTCTCTGAACTGCGCAGAATCATAACAACCGGTTCTATAGAACTGGTCCGAATCAGTAAAATCCCACCCCTGCTTAGTGCTATTCCTATTGCTAAATTATTGAGCCTGATCTTGTGTTTTCCTAAATCTAAATGCACTGCCTGAGTAACCATGAATCACACAATTGTGTCCTATTCAATAATCATATATACGTGTCTTCTGAACATGACTACTGGTGCAATCATACATACTTGAATTAAGGGAATTTAACATATACAGAAGGTATGTACAGTTTATCACATTAACATTTATTAATCACATCTCCCTTGTTTTAATGTTAACAAAACATGGAACATATTAAATATATTTTGTTTTACATTCGTATCATCAATAAAAAAAGCATTAAGAATTTGACAAAATTCCATAAAAACAATGACTTGAACCAAATCTACTTTAAAAAAATAGAACTAGAAAATAATGTAACAGTTCATGTAAATATAATCTTATGTTTAACCAAAGTAGTCAAAGAAAATTTTATGCATATAAAATACTGAAGATTATTTAGAAAAACTTAAACCCGGATAAGAGATTTGTAAGTAATAAACAACAGCAAATGCCAGAAACATTAACAATGGCCTTAAAACTGCAACAGCAATACAAGATGGATCACATATAATCCGCCTTTCAAATGGTGGATACCATCGTGAATAACCTAGGATTAAAAAAGAGAGGGAGTTATAAATATAATGATTTGAATTGAGATGAGATAATAAAACTAAAATTGAGAAAATTAAAAGAGGAGAAAAACTATGTAGAAAATGTAAAACAGTAATAAGTTATGGAATAGAACACAAAAATGAGCATGAAATTGAGTTTGTGTCTGTATGAAGAAGTGTAACCCAGGACCATGCTATTTTCAAAAAAAGATGTTTTATTTGTATTGTTTTTTGGGGGGTGAAAATCCAAATAAAACTTAAAAAAAAAGAGGGAGTGTAAAAGTAAATTTAAAATATAAAAGGCAATTGTAATACATACGCAAGCTGTTTTCTTTCTCGCGTTCAGAATTTCCTGTTTTTAAAAACAAACAAGGTTCAGACAAGCCAGTTAAAGCTTTTAGATTTTCTCTTGTTACATTTTCATTTCTTATACAAATGAATACATTAATAGTAGCAGTGATGCCACATTAATCAGTCTTTAAAATACAAGCAGAGCTATCAAATTGATAATGCACTGTTTACTCCTATTTATATAAGCTACTCATTTGGGCAATGGAAAGAAGCCTCACATACCTCTCTTTCCCCACTAAAAAGTAGAAAAAATTAACTCTGCTCTACCAAGATAAAATCTGAAAAGATTGAATATCAAAATTATTTTAAGAAACTGTAATAAAACTGTAATAAAAACTCCTTTTTCTCCCTCCTGGAACTATTTTATTCAGATATGTACTCACTACAGAGATTGTCTTTACAAGTGTCTCCTTTTGGACAGTTGCTGCATGGTTTTCCCTCTTTATAAGGGCGTACTCCACGGTAATTGCCCCTAAAAAACAGTAGATGAATACATTCTTAATCAAACCAATTACAAAGCTAAACTGAAAATTTAGCTGAAAATGTCAGTGACCTTACCTGAAGATCCCAAGTCAAAATGTCAAAATGTGCAATATCTTGCTACATGGCCCATCTTACAGAATTTCAATTATCTTTTGTGGGACTGCTAAATTAATCTTATAATTCTTGAAAATAATCTGATTTTTTTTAAAAAATAATTTAGCAACTCCATGTTTAATGTTTTTCAGAATAACAGATGTACTTGTGTCCAGATGTCCCAAAGGTGCTTTTTCAGGAGGAAACTGACCTTTTTTTTTAAAAAAAAAAAAGATGTTTCATTTCTCATCCAAGAAGCTTCCTCAGCTCTGATTGGCAAATGGAAGGATTTATATGTCTTGCAGACAGTTGGAGGTTTATCTGTGTCCTCAGGGTCATCCGAGTAATGCAAATGGGTGAGGATCAGAGGTGGTATTCAGCAGGTTCTGACCAGTTCCGGAATAATGGAAATTCTGAGATGTTTGGAGAACCGGCAAATACTGCCACACCCACCAAGCCATGCCCATAGAACCTGTAGTAAAAAAAATTGAATCCTACCACTGGTGAGGATCCTTCTTGGAGTTGCTGAAAGGACTGTGTTATCCTGATTCAGCAGTGCATCTGCATTTATAAGACAAAAGCTATTCTTTTGAAGATAGCAAAGTCGAGAGGACAACTGGTTTGAAAGAGGGTTTCAAATAGGCCATCTATGTCAAAATTGAACAGTCCTCTCTCAATAGAGGAGGGATATAATATCGTCTATCTCCAGTCTACAAGTCCTTTTAGTCAGAGTTGAAGAAGGATGAGAAATGAAACATCTTCAACGAAAAACAAGAAAGTACATTTGCCTCTTGAAAACGCACCTTTGGAATAACCAAGACCTGGATGACTGACTGAGAAGGTCCATAGACATTGTGCACTAATGCTATAGGGCCAACACATAGCCTAAATTTGAAATCATTAAAGTCCCTTTACAGGTAGTCCTCGACCACAACTGAGCTCAAAATTTCTGTTATTTTGTTAAATGAGCTTTATCCCATTTTACAATTTTTCTGGCACTGTTGTTAAGTGAATCGCTGTAGTAGACAAGTTAGCAATCTGGTTATTAAGTGAATCTGGCTTCCCCATTGACTGTCAGAAGGTTGCAAAAGGTGACCACATGACCTTGGGACACAGCAATGGTCATAAGTATGAACTAGTTGCCAAGGATCTCAATTTTAATCAGATGATCATGATGCTGCTGCTAAGGTTGTTAACTATGAAAAACGGTCACAAGTCACATTTTCAGTGCCATTGTAACTCTGAACAATCACTAAAGGAATTATTGTAAGTCAAGGACTACCTGTAATGTACATTTTTTAAAAATCAAGCAGAACTTTTCCTGAGTAGATAGTTCTAGAGGTTGTTGGCTCAGTGCAACATATGAATTAAAGAGTGGCACCTGTAACACTACTGTTGCATTGGTTACCAGTCTGCTTATGGGTGCAATTCCAAGTGTTGGTGATCACCTTTAAAGCCCTTCATGGCATGGATCCAGGTTACTTGAGGGACTGATCCCACTGGGATTGGCCCATACCACTCATGCCGGCAGAGAAGGCATGCTGCAGGTCCCGTCTTTATTATTATTCCAGTTGGCGGGGTCCAGGAGCAAGGCTTTTTCTACTGTTGTGCATGCCCTCTGGAATATTCCCCCCCCCCCAATGTGAGGTTGGCTTCAACCCTTGTATCTTTTCGTAAGGGCCTAAAGACATTCATTTGCCAGTCAGCTTGGGCTCAGCCAAGGTGGCACCAACGATGGCTGCCTCGGTGAAATGCTCTCTAATGGTTTCTTTATTCCTTATTATTATCTGCAATTCACTACAGATTTCATACTTACAAGACCATCTGCTAAGAATTAGGCAATGTTTCCTTAAGGAGCAGCTTTCTGATTCCCCACCCCCACCTGTCTTCGCAAACATGGAGGAGATTCTAACCAATTCCCCAGTGCTATGGATTGCAACAAAAAAAGCAAAGAAGCGACCACGCCGGAAGAGAAAACGAGGTAAACGAGTGGGAATTTTAAACAGACTAAGGAACAGAGAGGAAAAAAACCCTCTCCCTTCAATCTTTCTGACTAATTTATGTTCACTGGCTAACAAGATGAAGAGACATCAATAAAACAAAGGGTGGAGGACTATGTTTATATATCAACAACAGTTGGTCTCAGGATATAACTGTAATATATAAGTTTTGTGATGAAAACTTAAGAGTCTTTACACATCAACTGCAAGCCATTTTACTCTCCACGAGTTCTCCTCATTTCTCTCAGTAGCTGTGTATGATACCTGTACAATCAGCACAGCCCCCCCTCCCCAAGGCTGTGTGCTATCTCCACTTCTCTTCTCCCTATATACCAATGACTGCATCTCAAATGATCTATCTGTTAAAATACTGAAGTTTGCTGATGACACAACAGTGATTGGTCTCTTTTGAGACAACGAATCTGCATACAGACAGGAGGTTATACAACTTGCCTCGTGGTGGAACCGGAACAATCTGGAACTGAACACACTCAAAACCATAGAAATGGTGGTAGACTTTAGAAGAAACCTTCCTATACTACCACCTCTTACAATACTATACAACACAGTATCAACAGTAGAGACCTTCAAATTTCTAGGTTCTACTATATCACATGACCAAAAATGGACACCTAACATCAAAATCATTATCAAAAAAGCACAACAAAGAATGTTCTTTCTGCGCCAACTCAGAAAGCTCAAACTGCCCAAGGAGCTGCTGATACAATTCTACAGAAGAATTATTGAGTCTCTTATCTGCACCTCTATAACTGTCTGGTTTGGTTCTGCAACCCAACAGGACAGACGCAGACTTCAGAGGATAATTAGGACTGCAGAAAAAACAATTACTACCCACCTGCCTTCAATTAAGGACCTGTACACTGTACAAGTCAAAAAGAGGGCTGTGAAAATATTTACAGACCCCTCACATCCCAGACATAAACTGTTTCAACTCCTTCCCTCAAAATGACACTATAGAGCACTGCACACCAGAACTAGACACAAGAACAGTTTTTCCCTGAAAGCCATCACTCTGCTAAACAAATAATTCCCTCAACACTGTTCAACTATTTACAAAGTGTACACTACTATTACTGTTAATCTTCTCACCACTCCTTATTACCCATCCCCTCCCACTTGACTCTGGGATAGTATGAGTTGATTGTACCCTATGACTATCATTAAGTGTTGTACATTATGAGTCTTGATTCTTAATGAATGTACCTTTTCTTTATGTATACTGAGAGTATTTACACCAAGACAAATTCCTTGTGTGTCCAATCACACTTGGTCAATAAAATATTCTATTCTATTCTATCCCAGTGTGGGAACAGTGCAATGGGGATGGTTGATTGAATAACAGATCCAAACCTCCTCCCCACTCCACCCCCACCTTCCCCATGTCTTTGGTTTTACGATTTGATTTTAATTTTTTATGTTTTAACTTAGATGTAACTGTAAGCTATCCAGAGTTACTCTCTGGCAAGATGGGTGCCCAATAAATTTTATAAATAAAAATAATTGATTTCAAGAATTGTTTAGTAATTCTAAAATAATAGATGCATTCTATTCTGCCATTCTTTCAGCAATGCAAATAAAGTACGTCCAGTTTTGCAAATATTTATATCTCATATTTTTTGTAATCAAAGAAAATGTAACAATAAAGCAGAAATACAAATTAAAGTGTATGTATGTATGTATGTGTTTGAGACACAGAGAGTTAATAGCCTCATATGAAAATTAATCAGATTGAATTCTAGATGTTTTTATTCTTCATGAAAATTATAGCATCTTTTAAAAGAATCTATATTGGGATTGTCTATTTGATTTGTGTTAATACCCCATTGTCACATGGGCAATTCATGTTAGAGAACTCACCACTGTCTGTCTTTAAGCAAAAGAAATCTATGGTTGGGAATTATTTCATTTGGATTCTTATACTAAATATGAGTCCATTCACGGTGTTCTGAAATATACATGTTCTGAAATATTCATCAGAAATATGACAACGTTCCAAACTCTTTGTAATTCTCCTCCCATGACTTCCCCTATTCTGCAGAAATGCCCATTGGCAATTGAAGTTGAAAGCCAACAGTATCTTTACTAGTTTTACTAGTTTACTCGTTTTTCACATTTTCAATTAAGATACAGTCTACTTGCTATGGGTCTTTGACTAAGATTAAAAGGCATAATAAATGACCTGAGCACTGAATATAGAGTTGAGGTAGCATTTATTTTGTTCTACTGCTCTTCAATTTCCATAACCTTCCTACCTTTGCAATCTTATAGCTCATCATTTTCTTCACAACAGGCTACCCAAGGCTCTCTCTTTTTGTGTTGTACAATGTCCATTTGGATGGTTAGAAAATTTAATCTCTTTATTTCATAAACCAAGACCTTATCCCTTCTACTTCTGACTGATTCTTTCCAAAGCTTAAAAGATTTTTCAGTGGATAGAGATGTAAATTGTGATGGAGATGTAAATATATTTAACTGTACTTGTTCACTCCATCAAATACCTGGCGGGCAAATTGGATAAGATTATTTACATATCTTCTTTCACCATCAAAACTGCATATTTTCCCATGTCTTGGCACAGTTGAAAATAGCACCAGATAGGCAAAAATCTGATAGATAGAAAATCTGACAGGATCAAATCTAGTTTTATAATTTATAAAATAGGAACTTTTCTTTTTTAACAGAAGGAAAAGGTTTATAGAATAAAGTTGCAAAATAATTCAAGTACATTTTGGAGTAAAAAAAAATTGCCACCTTTTTTCCATAATATAAATATAGTTATCAGATGCATGAAGTTGGACCAAAATTACTCAATGGTTAAATGCATTATCACATGACTGGACAGGATTTTACACCAATTGTTCATTAAATGAATAACCACATCATAATTGTTCATTAAATGAACCACCACATCCAGATTTGCCCATGGATTTTGTCAGAAGCTGGTTGGGAAGGTCGCAAATCACAATCATGTGACAACAGGACACTGTAACCATCATAAATGCAAACTGATTGCCAAGTGCCCAAATCACAATCACGTGACCTGGGGATGGTACAACATTAAGTACAAGGATGGTTCATAAGTCAGTTTTTTCAGCACCATAGTAACTTTGAACTATCATTAAACAAATGGTCCCAAGGACTACCTGTGCTAGCAATTGGGTTCTTCTATATAAAATACAATATGTATTCTACCATTGAAATGTGGTCTCTATCAAACAGAGATGACGTTTACTTATACAGTGGAACCTCACATCGCGAATGCTCTTGTTCGTGACCAAATTGGGTGGCGAATAAAAAATCCATCCAATTTTTGAATCGGCTCACAATTCAAAAATCAGGTATCAAACAAAATCGGCACGGAAAGATTCCCTTTCTGTGCCAATTTCCCCTTCAGTGCCATTTTTTTTACTGTGCACACACGCAGTTGGTTGTACTTCCGGACACAACCAAATTGGGTTGCGACCAGAGTCCGGGACAGATTACGGTTGCGACCCGAGGCTCCACTGTACATTTATATAAGATGTAGCTTTGAAATCCATATACTACTAAAAGTCTAATTGTCATGACGTAACTGGATGAAACAGTGTATCAAAGAGGAAAGTACCTCAAATGAGCTAACTTTCAGAATATATTCAAAATATGTATTCCTTCCTCTGGAAGGAAGGCTATCGCGCAGATAAACTGACTACTGTGGTCACATGATCTTCATTTTCAACATTCCGTGAGTTTTCCAACATGTCTTGCAATGCTTTGCTCCCTCCTCCACCCAGCAGCAGTCTTTACCTGCCTGTTGGGAAGGGAAAGGAAGTCTACACAGTGTCCATGCCACAGCCTGTGCATTCCCGACCATGCTGCCACCCTATGTGCCTTGTTCGACCTGCACTGCCCCCATGTGGCTTCCCTGACACATATAGCTTCTCTTGAAGGAGATAAAAAAAGGGTGAAATGGAGGGAGAGAGGGAGGGAGGAAGGAAGGAGGCAGGAAGTTGCTCCAATTGTTTCCCCACCCTTCTTTCATGGTTGTCTAGGAACTAAATATATTTTTAGTCATGTTCTTCCATTGTCTGAACATTTTCTATGTAGTCTCCTTATAACTGACCAGCTGATTTTTAAAATAAAGTTAATAAAAAAACATCAAAAAGTTGTTACAGACAGCAAACTAACTGAAAATAAATTGTTCAGGATAATATATGTAAATGTATGAACAGAATTTCAGATGTGTTTAACATGTCTTAACTTACGCTGGAGCGTAATTGCACACTACAATGTTATTATTTTTTTCCTTTCCATCCATGTAGCGGCAGTAAACAGCAGCACAGCCAACTTTGTATGAAGTAGCCCAAACTACCTGAAAAAGAAAGAACATCTATTTTGAATAATTTAAGTTTTTCTCCAATCTCTTTCTATTTTGATCTGCATTTGACCAATAAATATTTATTTTTCACTTTTGTAAACCACCCATCTTCCTCAAAGAGGGAGTTAATTACATTAAGATTTGCCTAAAAAATAGTCAACTTACAATCACAATTGAGCCCAAAATTTATGTTGCTAAGTGAGACATTTGTTAGTTGAATTTTGCTCCATTTTAAGACCTTTCTTGCCACAGCTATTAAGTAAATCATTGCAGTTGTTAAGTTGGTAACATGGTTGTTAAGTGAATCTGGCTTTCCCATTCACTTTGCTTGTCAGAAGGTTGCAAACGTGGATCACATGACCTTGGCATTCGCAACTGTCATAAATATGAGTCAGTTGCCAAGTACCTGAATTTTGATCATGTGACTATGGGGATGCTGCAACAGTCATAAGTGTTAAAAATATAAGTCACTTTTTCAGTACCATTGTTTTGAACACTCAATGAACTGTTTTAAGTTGAGGTCTACCTGTACTTTGAAGCTAAACAGTCCTTCTTTAAAGTGTTAGTATCAAAATATTTCAATTTGGCTGTATTCCACTTGAATTGGCATAGGTACACACACACACACACACCTGTGAGTTCTTACAAGCTCTTCAGAGGCTCTGCAGATAATCAGATGTGAGGATCTCTGAAGTTGAGCTTTAGAGAGCAGTTGGGAAGGTTGCTGCTACAGTACCATTCTTGCTCCACAGTATCATCCTTGTCTGGCTAGTAGGGTTCCATTCTTTGGCTGGTGATAATAGTATATGGGATTTTAATCTGCCACCTAGTCATGTGTAGTTTGGAATAGTGGCATTGACTTATTTCTGATGGCCCAAAACATACCTGATGTTTCATATCAGATCTGGTTTTTTTATTGTCTTGTAACAGATGTGGTAAGAAAGGACATTAACATCAATCCATTGCCATAGACAGATATGTTTACTTTCTTGTCTTGTTGGTGCCATCTTTACTACAGGGAAACAGGCCCAATTCAATCAGGCTGTTCCAAACAATTGATGAATGCTATGGGGTTCCAAAGGTTTGAAGTTTTCCAAGTATGTAGAAAGCTTCCAGCTGAGGCCTTGGCTACTGCCTAGAATGAATGGCTGTGGCCTTGGACATACCTCCCTGTGTGTTGATCCTAGAGTACATTAGTTTACTGAGGAGATCCAGGAGAGGAAGGATCAGAAGAGGCTGATCAAATATGAGGAAGAGCCATGTTAGGGATTACTTTGTAGATAAAGGACAGAGAAATCTCACTATTTATCAGAAAGGGGATTAGTCTTAGGTGATTTGGGATGGGTATGAACTGTTGACGCCTGAAGAACTGGAAAGGATTCTTTGTGCTGTTAGCTTAGCTACCCATATACTGCATTTGGGGCCCTTCCACATTGGCAAAGCAGCCAAGGAGGTGTAAATGGGTCCATGCTATGATTGTTTGTGGGAGAGATGGCACACAATGGTATGCCTGCCAGAATCAAAACCAATTTGGTTCCAACCTTCCCTTTTGGTTAGACTGTAGCTGCAGTCCAGGAACTCCAGAACTCTAGAGAAAGTGGATTATCTTGACCCACCTGAGTTGGGTTTCAGGCCAGGATTTGATAAGACAGATCACCTCGATTCTCCTTGTAGACTACTTGCAAATCTGCAATGGGAGTGATGTATCCATTCTTTTGCTCCTTGATTTCTCAGTAGCCTTTGATACCACCAACCACGATATCCTTCTGGACTGGCTTCAGGAATTGCAAAGGGAGTGGCACTATTTTATAGTTGTTCTCTTGTTTCCTTTAGGAACAATTCTAGTTTATTTCGTTTGGGGAGAAAGGTCATTCTCTAGACCCCACCTCTGTAGAGTACCATAATGTTCAATGTTCTCTCTCTTTCTATTGTTTCTATTCAACATCAACATAAACCCACTGTGTGATGTCCGACATCACTTTGGGGATTAGTATCATCAGTATATTGATGGTAACTACAGACAATGACTTTGACAAAGATAAAGCCAGATGTTATGCAAAGCCATGAAGAGAAAGACATGGCTTAAATCCAAAACAATGTAACATATGCACAAATGGCTAAAATGGACATAGTGCAACCAGACTTCCAAGACTCTATTACTATAGTCAATCTCAATAAAAGGAGTTGTAGCCTTCCTGTGGAATCAATTCTCCGTCTGGTTTGACAATAAGCAATTATAGTTGCTGAGACTTGTCGATATACTGTCCCAGGATATAAAGGCATGTAGAATGTGGAAAAACTGCCTCAGACTCAATCCTACCAAGAGGAAGTGGTTGTGGGTTCTAAGACCATTTGGTTCTGTTATTTAAGACATGTGATTAATGGAAGTAATAGAACTGAAGGAGTTGAGGAGATTTCTGTATTGCCTAGAATAAATAATGCTATTTTGAGCCTAGTATTACCTGGATAAGGGGAAGGCTTTTCAAGATTTTAACCCTCAAAGGGAAAAAGATAGCTGGTGGCCTGGTGGATATTTCTTTGGGGAAAGGATTGCAATCCTTTCCCCAAAGGGAGAGATGGACTTTTGGTCTGGCTAGCTAGAAAGTTATTTTTAAGTACAGACTTGTGCATTATATGCCTTAAGTCAGCAGTTTTGTAGTTCTCTGAAGCTTGAGGCGATAGCTTAGCTGACTTAAAAGCCAGGATGGCAACAGTAAAAATATAATGTGTATGTGGATAGATAGATAGATATGTGGATATGTGATTCCCTTCAATTGGGGAAATTACAGCATTTGTTGATGATAGATAAACGGAGAAAGTTAAAGTTCTCCTGTGTGAGGAGATGGCATGGCCAGAGAATTGCTAGCTAAAACATAGGCTGGGAAGAAGAAATGAGTAGTATTTTTGTAAAAAATTGATAGATCTGGTGATGCGTGGTTGGCCTTTGTGCATTCAAGCAGTGGCTCACTAATGTTCAAGCGGTGGCTCACTAATGTTGTTATGATGTAGTTATTCCAAAAGAACTTAGTTCTCTTAATTGATAGGAATTTAAATCCAGCTGAGTATCTGTCAGAGCGCGATTGTGCAGAGTTAAATACCAAAGTATGGAAGGGTTTGGAAGATAGCCCTATAGAGAGATGGAATGCCAAGAATAAAATATATCTATTATGAAGAATATAATAGAGAGAGTACATGAGTGAACTTATTTGGGAACACTAGCATTACTACATTATATAACGACAATATATTTGTAGGGGTATGTAAATGATAGCCATGCAAGCGGGGAGAATTTATACATTGTATAAAAATAAAGAAAAGGATCATGTGGAAGCAGATAGTAGGAGGAAGGGATTTGGCCATTCCAACGAATACAAGTAGATTACACTGAAATGCCAGCAGTGGAACTTTGAAGTGTTTAAATGGGTTTTAGTGTTTCTGTATGCAAGAGCAAGTGCTAAAATGACTGTACTAATAAAATAATACCTAGATAGGGATTGGTTGAATCTATTGATAGTGAATAGAGGCACACACTTCACTGTCCAGATGGTACAATAGGGAATGGAGCAAGTGGGGATAAATTGGCAATCCCACATAGATATAGAAGGACGGAGTGGCTGCATGGAGAAAATGAAACAACCTTTAAAAGAATTGGTAAAAAGGTTAATATTGGAGCTCCAGGTCTTCTAAACGAAGTGTTTGCCCTTATCCCTAGAAAAGATATGTGTATTTCACCATATGAAATGATGTATGGAGTACCATACCTGGAAATTCCATGATATGGCACTAAAGATGTTTTTTGTAAAGAACTGTATACTTGGGTTCTCCTTTTCTTTATCTTACCTCAAGAAAAAAGGACTGCTAGCTCAGTTTGCTGTCTATTGAGATTACCTCCCAAATTTGCTGTTTGTAATTCCAACCTGGTGATTGGATAAAAAGCTGATGTGAGCAAATACTGAAGCCTGGGACAGGTCTTGCTAAATCCTGCTGACCACTGAAACAGCAGTCTGGACAAACGACCTTCCGAATGGACAGTGAAGCAAGGCGCATAAAATCCTTTTACACTCACATTTTTAAATTTACATATATACTTAATTTATGGAACATTGGGAGATTGAGTTGCTCATTTGGCTGGGATAATAAACTTTTATATTATGCTCATTTGGCTGGGATAATAAACTTTTATATTATGCTGTCAATTATATTGACAAAAAAAAGATAGACTGGTGTAGACAATGGCTATGATACTAGAAGGAAGAAGAATTGGATATAAGTTTTGACATATAAATTACAGATATGAGGTGGGAGGGGGCCTAGTCCATTTATAACATTGCAACATGAAGTTGATAGTGGTTAATAACTTGTGTAAGGTAAGGATGGAGGCTTTTGATGTATTGCCTAGTTATCCTATGACATGGCAGCAGCTATGTTTCCATACTGAACCCGACAGTGATAATTACCAGGTGCAAACACCACTGACACCCACAGCTAAGATCCACCTTGGATGATGGATTACCTTTGGGTAGATATCCAAAGTGTAATCACACATATGATGTAGTCATCAGTTATAAGAGATGTGTTAAGAAGACTGGAAGAGATGTGTTAAGAAGACTTGTATAATCAATGTGTTGAATTATATGGTACTTATTCATCTTCCTATATGGGATTTAGAACTTTGGAGGAAGGATTATTTTTGTCATATATACTTTTGTCATATATATATATATATAGGAGAATGTTTTCTTGGGTTAGTGAAAGTGGCTCTTTCACCTTTTGTGTAACAGGAAGAAACTGTGGTTTCTAATATGATGTCCACTTGTTTTATAGGAGTTCCAGTGCCAGGAAAGTTTTTATTTGCAGAGGCAAATATTGCTACACAACCGAATTCTTATACTTTTTATAATTTGTCAAAGGTGATTACTTTATTTGGAGGTCCACTGAAGCCACATAAGTGGACTAATCAAAAGGAAGTTGTAATGGAAGTAAAACAATTTACCTACTGAGGATGTATTTTCTTGTACCAAAATAGAAGTGATAAATGCAATGGGACAAGTGTTATACCTAGATAGTAGTTTATATTTTTTGGTTTATATGCTTATGCATTTGTATATGCAATAGGGGGACCCTATGCAATATGCTATATGACAACAGGTATGGCAGTAGCAAACCTGAAGAACATATACATGTAAATGGAGTTATATTATGATATGATGAATGATGGTCTTTCTAATGGCGGTGGATTTTTAGGATAGACAGGAGACACATGTACACAAAAATGTACACAAAAATAAGGCAGAATCTAAATCTAGAGTAACAGAAACAATTATAATATACCCTCATCAACCAATACGATGGCCTGAGTATAGGGGAAAATTATCTACATTTGAGATATATTCTGCAGATTGTAATGGTACTGTGGTAATATTATCTAAAGTAGAGGCAGGGCGTTTAGGATTATTTTCTTAGGGAGCTATCTTTTGTAACCAGGTGCCTTATTGAAAAGTATAAATACAACATCATCAGCTATAGATGCTATGGCCAATGAGATGGGTGAAAAGGGGAATCTGATATAGATTAACTTCTCGTTATCAAATTTTACCTGGTTGGAAGACTTACTCATTTGTATCATTATCAGTATAATTGGCTTCATTTCTTGTAATCTGTATTCAATGTGTGCCTATATGTAATTATGTTAAATATTGTTGTAACACAACCAAGCCAAACCAAGGAAAAAGGAGATGGTTAAGCCACCAGGAAGTGGTAATTCACAGGTATAAACTGGTGAAATAGAAAAGGGGGATTGAGATATGTAATATTATACCTGTGAAAATATAAAGCAATGGTAACACCATTTTTAACCTCTGTGTTAATCTAAGATAATTTACTGGAATATTATGTAAGAATTCGATTGTTTTGTATAAAAGTTATATATTTGGCAGGTCATGCTGTCCTGTGTCATGTTAATGATGGAGATTACTGGAAATGAAAACAGGTAAACAAATTAAGGAAACAGATGGTATATAACAATAGGGGTGTTGCGTAGAGAAATACGTAACTGGATAGTGAACTCGGAAAGGAGCAGAGACTGTATATCTGAAACTGTAAACCCCACCCTTCCTAGGAAACATGTCTTCTGTGGCTCCGCCTATGAGAACACAATTCCCTTTGGCAAAAGCTCCATAATAAAGCTCCTATTTATTGTTCACAAGTCTCCAGTTGTATGAAAACCTGAATGGTTGATTTTTTATCACATCTCTGACCTTGGATGGAGTTACACTTCTCCATTTAAAGCTGGTATGAAATCTAGGGATCTTTAAAAAAAAGTCTTTGTTCAGCTTCATCTGGTGCAGCAGTTGCAGCCTTTCCTCAATTGGGAGGCCCTTCAGATAGCCAGTCATGTCCTGACTATTACAACACACCCTATATGGGACTGTATCAAAAGCAACCTGGAACCTTCAACAGATCCATATCTACAACAGTGTGAGAAGTTATGCACATGCTACATGATGAAACAACACTTCCATAACTTGCTCTGGATGCCAATTTGCTTTCAAGGTACTGATTACATCTATGAAGTGCTACATGGTATAGGAACTGGTTATTTGACTGCCTACCTCCTCTGGAGGCTATCTTGCCAGATCTCATTAGGTGGTTTACCATTTTTCTTATATTTCTTTTTCTTTGTTAAAAGTCTGGTACTATTGTTTGTTCTCTCTTAATATTGTTTTTATATCAAAGGTATTATATTCAGCACATAGTCATTTGGAGTTGGATAGCATAAAACCAAGAAAACAAGTGAGCAAATATTTAGAGATCAAATTAATTTTTAATTTCTCAGTTGCTTTTTACCATTCTATGATGGTAAATAAGCAATGTTACACAATCACTTACTAAGCAGCTGTAATCAGTATTCATACTTTACTGTGACAATGAACTATATAAACACAAAATTACATACTTACCTGGGTATAATGTCCACATACTTTGGTGCACTGATGGGTAGACAAAGTGTAGTATTTTACTTCACTGTTAAATGCTGCAATTGGATTCTCAATATTAATTGGCCTTGCGCTTGCACTTCCCATCCACATATTTTCTCCGGTTGGCTTAAATTTATTATCAGGATGGTACTTTTGATTAGGATTATGTTTCCAAACACATTTATTTGCCCATGCTCTAGCAATTCTAGCTAAAGCTAAATCAAATGTCTGCAAAGGATAAAATTATCAGTTAAGCTATTCATCATATTTATCTCCCTTAGTATATGCACAAATATCAAACTGAGACCCATCCAAATACTGAGGAATTTCCATGCATGCAGTTGACAAAGAAAAAATTTTTTTTTTAAATTAAAATCTGGAATTTTCCAGAAGATATAACATTTAAAACACTTTCAGAGATTATTCTTATTTATTTACAATGTCTATATAAAAAGTTGGTTTTGCATTTTTAAAACTATATTATAAAAGTAATATTTATAATTTTAATATATGTGCAAGAAAACATTATATATATAGATGCTTTGAATTACATACTGATTACATACTGAAGCGGAATAGTCTCCTGTGAAGATTTAATAGGATGGTTATGCAACAAACTGTTGCAATGTGGATTGATTTTTTAATTGATCAGCTATATCTTTTTCCAATATATTCTTTTCAACTTTCTATTCTTACCCTGTCAGTAAACCAGAATTTACACAAACTTTACTTAATATGTGTAGATCTTTTACACCCTTGCTTCTTCCAAGCTTTACTTTATATATCTAAAGAGATTAATGTAAGTACATTAAAAACATGCAAGTGTACTTCAAAGCAATATGGTTTCAAAATAAATTATTAATTTTCTTAGTGGATCATAATCTGAATATGAACTAGCATGAGATATTCAGCTAAAATATATTACCAGATGTGAAGAAAAAATATTGTGAACTATTACCACCTAGTACTGTCTATAAATCCAGAGTTGGCAATTCCCATTTTTAAAGGAATAAGAAAAAAGCTACCAGAACCAGGACAAAATTATCATAATTCTTTTTCTCTAAGAAGTTATTACTATGTTAGAAATTACTTCTGCTTTTAATTAGATCACACCCTTTCATTCTGCCATGAGCTCAGAGGTGGAATTCAGCAGGTTCTTACCAGTTCTGGAGAACCAGTAGCGGAAATTTTGAGTAGTTTGGAGAACCGGCAAATACCACCTTTGACTGGAGATTTTACAGTATCCTCCCCTGCCATGCCCACCAAGCCACACCTACAGAACCGGTAGTAAAAATTTTTGAATCTCACAACTGCATGGGTTGTATATTCCAGACCCAATATACAACCCCAACTACATGGGTTGTATATTTTAAAAATGCATTTTTAAAATGCATTTCAATGTTACCATAGATTAGCAGGAAGAACCGTAGCAATTATACAGGGTAGGGAACAGAGTATTCAAAGTTTGTTTTCAGCCTTCCTCTATGGCAGTAGTGACAAACTTCAATGTGGACTGCATACAACTACCAGCATTAGTTCTGTATGTTATGGTCAGTTTTGGTATCCATCTGTGAACTGAGAGATTTCCTACCACAGGTTATCTTTCAACTTTAAAATATCCCCACAATGGGCAAAAATAATATGTTCTAAAATGAAAAAGAAGGGAGCTATAAATAACTAGAATCAAAAAGGTAAATGTGACTGCAGCATGAGATAGAATAATCTACTCTTCCCACTGCAGAATTTATAAGCTAATTCCTTTCTTGCCTTCTGGTTTATTAAATGACAGTCACCAATCTTTTCAGGTTGAGACAGCTTGATGGAGTCCAGCAGCCAGACTCAATGCTCACTGAAAGTTACACATTCTGAGAGAACTGGAGAATGTCTCAAACTTCCGGCAGCTTGTTTGCTTTTATATTTAGATATGCTTTTAATGACTTAACATTTAAAACTTAAATGTTTTTTACATGATTTTAATCTTAACTTTTAACTTCTGAATGTGGCTCAGGGATTACTGGTAGAGTTCACAATCAGATGCTTATTGTTACCTAATGGAAACCTTATGTGCAATGGTTTGCATTTTTTTCTTAAATATATGCATTAATTTCTTTGTATTTCTTTGTTGAATTTATATACTCTTTTACTGTATAAATTGCATAGTGTAATTGCAGTTTACATGTAATTCAACACATACATACCCCAAAATACAGTAAAAAAAAATCATAAATTAATGAAACAATAAAACTATTCTTGTGAAAAGGATTCATCCACTTGTTTGGGAAAAAGTAAACTCCTAATACCGGTAATAGGCACTAGGTGAAAATAGGCAGGAAAATCCCTATGGAAAACAGGTAAGGAATCATGGCATGTAATGTTCCCCCTAGGACTGCAAAATTAGGTGGAGGTAAGCGCGTTCAGATTTGCTGGTTCAAGCTTGGAAACTTGCAGAGTGACTTTGCCCCCGCCCCAACCTTTCAGCCCTGGTTATCCTATACTGTGGGAATGGGATTAATTTTGGAAGGATGATTAAATTGAATCTCCTGGAGAAAAACGGGGTCTGTTTCTTATTTTCTTGAGATACCGCTTTTCCCCCTCGTTAAGCTCCTCCAACTCGACGGTCCCACAAACTTTCGCCACTATCGCAGGCACACCCCCGAATGACTATCGCCCCCAGGAAGCAGCACCTTCCGCGGGCGAAGTTTTCTTTGGCTGTCGTTTAAGGGGCGGCACGCTAACAGGCAGAGAGCTTCTCTTTTCCTCACGGCCTTTCCCTCTAACGCCCCCGGGCCTCCTGTCCTCGTTCACCGGCAACCCTTCGAACCGCTCACCATGTACAGCATGTTGGAAGCAGAGGGGTGGACTTGGCTGCGGAACTTGTTGTGGACGTCGATGTATTGCTTGATAAAGGTGCGGTTGTTGATGTCGGGCAAAGGCGCAAATTTAGTTCTCACTTCCCCGAGGAGGAGCGTCAGCAGCCCCGCCGCACCCCACCACCACCAGTGGCTCCTCATGGCCCCGACAACGGTGACCTGGCGGAAAACTGCGCGCGCTTTAATGGTCCTCCTGAGGTCGCCGTCCAGGGACTTGGTAGCCCGGCGCTCGGGGTTTTCCCGAGGGAGTGGCCTGCTAATCTTGTAAAAGCTGTGAGAAACGATTGCTTTGGTCTCTAGCGCCCTCCTCTCCTCCTCGGTTAGGTTTGCTAGCCTCATCTGAATGGTACAAGGCTTACTTGGGAGTAAATTCTACCCTAGTCCTTGAAGTTTATTTCTCAGAAGTCATACCTGAATTCCTCTTTGTTCAGTTTTTAATCCTAGGCAGGGCTTAGTTAGCAGTCTCCTAGAAATAACTCAGTGACATTTTTTATCTCTCAGATGAATAATACACTATGTTTTATTAGTAGACATTATATCTGGAAAAAGAAGAGCCTATTGCTTTTTTCTAAATACCCTTTTCTATTTTGAAAAAAAAATCAGATCTGTCAGATGAAGCTCCTCTGAATGTCACCAAATTATCTGCCTCCCATTCTTCTCACCTGTTCTCTGTGGGAGGCTGTTATTTTGAGTTAGGCCTGTAAAATGTGCTGTATTTAGATATATGTATGAATAAGCATGTCATATTAAGATACTGTTGGAAGTCAGAGGACATCAAATGAAAGACATGACTAATACAGGTAAGTAATAGAAATTGACTGGCGAGATATTATCTGCATTATAAATACATGCATATGTATACTCCTACTGTATAAATGTTGGAGAAATGTCATATACCTTTAGTGATTTTCTTCTAAGGAAAGTCACCCTCCTCTTCTAGGAGATCAATGTATATGATCTTCTTTCAAGAAAAGTCACTCTAAGACTCAAGATGCACACAACAGGCTGGATAGCAGCTGAATATGCTAATCACTTTTTAGTTAAATAACATAACATGAAAATCACAGCAATCTATAAGTAATAACATGGCAATTCAACTAATGATAAAGAGGAAACTCTGCATATTGACAGTCTTATTGTAAAAATGGTAGTTCTCCAAAATGTGTTGCTGTAATTCACACAAAATTATAATCGGATATTGCAGTAAAGGCCTTTCCATCCTGTTAAGGGCTGAAAATAACACCTAATTACATCTATTATATCAATCTTTAAAAAAAACCCTAAAATTTCACTATAAGGGAAATCAGGTTATATCTCTCTAAATCTGTAGAGAAGAATATGAATAATACCTGATTTAGATCTGCTTTTCCTCCGTTTTATCCAGTGGTATTTTCATGGGTATCTATTTGCTCTGAGAGAAATAGAATCCTCAGTTATCAAGTATTAATACTTTGTAAGACACTGGAAGAAAAATAATTTTGTATCTTTTAAAAAATTTCTATTGCAATTCAATTAATGGAAATATCTCAAGTATACTTTTCTATTTTATAGGGTGAGTTTCAATAAGGGTGAGCAGTGCACAATCCTACCACCAGTCTATTACGTCTGAAGAACTTTTGTGGCCTTTTGAATTCTATCTGCAGTTGTTTAAACTAGATGAACAAAATATTGCCATTTTGAGCTGGGAAAAACATAACTACAGTGTTATCCCTAAAACGAACTTTTTGTATTGTTCATTTTATTGACTGTACTTTTATTGGTCAATGGTTGAAATAAAGTTCTGTCTGCCTTACTATATTTTCTTTTCTTATTATTGATAAAGCAAAATGTATCCTGTTATTGGTGAGTGCAAAAGAACCACAGCATAAAATAGACTGCCCATATCAGTCCCTCTTTTTTGCTTCTGTTGCAACTCCATGCAGAATCAAGTAATTCTGATCGTTGGATCACCAGCCACTACAGTAATGGATTTTCTCCCTTAGCTTTGCTGCTATCTTCCTTAGCAGGTTACTGGGTAGTAGGAAAACACCCAATAACTATAGCATTGTAGTATAAATGGGTTTTGACAATATTGTACAATTATGTTATTTGCAGACTCTGCCTCAACTTCAGTAGGCTGATTTGTCTGGCCTTCCTCCCACATGCCATCTGGGCATCTGACAATTTCATAAAAATGTGAAATAAATAAATATATGAGATTGTCTCCAATCATAAAAATGTTTCTACAAAAGTGTTTAATGAAACAGTACCAAACATATTGTAATTTTGAAAGGGTAATAGACACAAATAGACATAGTGGTAGAGCAGTTTTAAGGGGGAAGGAAAGAGTCTTCCACATGATTGTGCAAGAAATTAGGTTTTGTATAGCTGGAGAATTAAAACTGACTTGATACTAGTTGTGTTATTTCCCAGGAAGAGAAGAAATTGAAATTGACAAAATATCTATAAAAGCCTAGTTTGATACCCTTCAATATTTTCAAGTTATTGCAACAAGCAGAAGCAAGGCCCAGGGCATCTTAAAATGTTCCACTGACATCATTCCAGAGTTGCACAGATAAATTCAAATATAATAGTGGAGACCTTCCGATTAATCACACCAAACATTTTTTTGAAAGCTGAACCAAATTAAATTGCAAGCACTAGAATTCATCTATAGTAATCACTTGACCTGGATTTATTTTTTTATATGGAGTACCTTTACAATAATATCATTTATTCTAAACTTAGTTATGTATGCATATTTTCTTCTGCTAGAAAATGAATTACAAAATATATAAAGCTATTTTTGCTGAGTTATTGTAATAGCTATCATAACTATACTGTCTGAACCCACATATTTATGTTTTGGTTATATTTATTCATTCTTTGATAAAATGATAAAATGATAAAATAATCTGAATATTATGTCCACATACATTTGTAAACTCCTAATCTTAAATTTAGAATTTTATTTTCTCATAATTTTTTTCAATGGCACCATCATTGTGAATTGCTTGTCTTGAGGCATATTCTCTCCACAGATTTTCTCAATTATGTAGTTTCAGGATTCCGTATACTTCCAAGCATAATTTGTGTATCTGCAAAGGATGCAAGACCCAACTTTAATTACATTTTGTCATCTGTCTCTGTTAACTGCACTATCAAGTCTTCAACCTTGTAGATCCATAAAATTAGATGTTTATCTGACAAAACTGTGGATGTTCTAATATTTTTAGAAGTAATTTAAAAAGTGCTGTGAAATCAAATACAATCGTATCTACAATTTTATTTTAGATCTTTTGAAATATTGTAGCACCATATTAGTTTTTTATGTCTAAAAAGTTTCTAATAAAGAGTGAAACTTAACATTTAAGATAAAATTGAGGAAAGCAAAGTAAAATGTTGATATATTTTCTTAATTGAATATATACCATCAGCTTTTTATAAATCTGTGAAATTTTACTATATCTTAATAACCTTTCAAGTAAAGTTTTTAAAGGGAATTTATCAATAAATGCTGTTGTCAACAAACCCAGGCAAATCAGAACTCTGAGACTCATATCTCTCTCAAAGAACTTCTTTATTAGGCACATCATATTGGCACAATTAAATGTAGAACCAACTCTGAATAATTCCCGCTGTTTCGGTATAGTTAAAATAGTAAATGATCCCCTCCCCAGGTGTCACTAGTCAACAGTAATTGTCTAATTAGGTTCATTGCTGGGGGTCCTTAGGCACTCCTCTCCGTTCTCATCCGACACCTGTGGAGATGACCTTGGTTCTCACGAGAAAGATTGGTGTTGTGTCTGACAGTGCATTCCCGCCCCGGCTCCCCCTGACAAACTGTGTGGCAATTGAGAACCAAAAAAATGGCTTCTGCCAGGTTCAGTTTGAAACTGACTGCTGTTCTGTTTCTACTTAGAATTAAGAGAAAAAAAGGGAATACATTCACCAATTCCACAATAACAATGTTCCCCTCTTCCCCAGTGGTGGGATTCATTTTTTTTACTACCGTTTCTGTGGGTGTAGCTTGATGGGCTTGGCTTGGCTTGGTGGGCGTGGCAGAGGAAGGATACTGTAAAATCTCCATTCCCTCTCCACTCCACTAACCTGCTTTCCAACTCGGTTTTCCTGTGCAGGACAACCTGCTTTTCCCCCTAGTGAAATAGTAAAGGCTGTTCTGATAGTCTAGACTCTAAAGACAAATAGCTGTCAAAAAGATAAAGAGGAGGGGAGATGATAAGTATAGTGGGGAAGAGAGATGATCAGTATGAAGTGGCTACAATAATGCCAAAAGTTTGTGTTGACATTACAGTGAAACAGAGATAGTTAGGGTGGAGGCTGAGAAACCTTTTCAGATTTGCACATTTTGAAGCTATAGTAGAACACTCTAATATCAATTTAAGGAGGGAAATACTACGTTAAAACTAATGTATCTAAGAATAACTGCATTGACTTGGCAAAGGAAATGATTGTTGCATCATTTTTTCCTGTGGTTAGGCAATTGACTGAGGGATGTATATGTATGTGTGCATGTGAAGGTGGGGGAGGGAGGGAGGGAGTGTTTTAAAAGTAGAGTGAGATAATATAAAAATGGAGCAGAGAGTTAACCCTTTGGGTGACATGGCTGTGGGTGGTAAGCAAGATAGTTGTAGGTGCATTAACAGCATTGTGGGGCCTGGGCAAAGCAGTCTACTGGGGCCCCTATGACAACTACTCACAGGAACAAAAATATAAATAGTTGATAAAATTAAACATATTTGCATGTGTTGGAAGAAATATTCTCTGGGTTCAGTTCCAAGTGGGGAAAAAGACACTGGAAACATGGAGGCTGCTTGGAAGGTTTAATGGTGTACAGGACCACATGGCCTTGAGCTTCAGAGCGAAAAGGAAGGATGATCACATGCTTCAAGGTGAAGGAAGAGATCAAGAAAAGGGTAATATGCTGAGAGTGCCTGGGTTTTATAACCTGGGATTTGAATTGAAGCTTGTTTCTAACTGCTTGTCAGCAGGGGTGGGATTCAAAATCTTTAACAACTGGTTCTGTGGGTGTGGCTTAGGTGGTGGGCATGGCTTGGTGGTCATGTGACTGGGTGGACATGGCTTGGTGGTCATGTTATTGGCTGGGTGTGGCCAACTCATCACTCACATTTAGGTATGCCTCTCCTCGCCTGGCCTCTCATGACTGTGGGGATGCTGTAAGAGTTGTTAGCATGAAAAATGGTCATAAGTCACTTTTTTCAGTGTCATTGTAATTTTAAATG